TATTTCTAACTCATAAAAGTGAGGCATTTCATGTTTTCAAAACTTTTCTCAAAAAGGTTCAAAATGAAAAAGGCTTAACCACCGTAGCCATACGAAGCGATCATGGTGGAGAGTTCGAACGAGATCTCTTTACCGAGTTTTGTGACGAACTAGGCATCGAGCATAACTTCTCCGCTCCACGTACACCACAACAAAATGGTGTGGTGGAACGTAAAAATCGTTGCCTTGAGGAGATGGCTAGAACTATGCTTGATGAGGCAAAAATTCCTAAGTATTTTTGGGCGGATGCCGTGAGTACCGCGAGCTACGTGTTAAACCGAGCCGTCATTAGAACGATACTCATGAAAACCCCATACGAACTTAACAAAGGAAGAAAGCCCAACCTCTCCCATCTTCGAGTCTTTGGTTGCAAATGTTTTGTTCACAATAACGAAAAAGATAATTTGGGTAAATTTGATGCAAAGTCGGATGAAGGAATTTTTCTTGGTTATTCATTGCGTAGTAAGGCTTATAGAGTCTTCAACAAACGCACCTTAACCGTTGAGGAATCTCCTCATGTTGTCTTTGCCGAAAATGATGCTCGCTTGGCGAGAAAGGTTTCTTTTGATGATCTTATAGATTCGTTGGAAAACATCTACGACGATGAGAAAGTAGACAACTCAAAGGAAAGCCAAGATGAAGAAGTAGAGCCACCCGTAAACGAGGAACAACCACAAGAGGAGGAAACGCCAATGCCAAGGGCATGGAGGACTTCAAAGAACCATCCTCTTGACAAGGTGATCGGTGACATCAACCGAAGGGAATTTTCAAACTTAATGACAAATGAATTTGAGATGTCCATGATGGGGGAACTCAATTTTTTCTTGGGGTTACAAGTCAAACAAATGAGGCAAGGGACATTCATTTGTCAATCAAAGTATTGCAAGGAGCTCCTAAAGAGATTTGAAATGGATGGCTCCAAAGCAATGGCTACCCCAATGAGCACCTCCGAGCACTTGGAAAAAGATGAAAAGGGTAAGGAAGTAGACGTAAATAAGTATCGAGGTATGATCGGATCCCTTCTTTATCTTACCGCTAGTAGACCCGATATCATGTTTAGCGTTTGTTTATGTGCAAGGTATCAATCTTGTCCGAAAGAATCACATTTAACGGCGGTGAAACGGATAATGAAGTATCTTGTTGGTACAATGAACGTTGGACTATGGTACCCCAAAGGGTCTCCTTGTCATCTTTTTGGCTATTCCGACTCGGACTTTGCTGGTTGTAGATTAGACCGTAAGAGTACGAGTGGGACTTGTCACTTGCTTGGTAGTTCTTTAGTCTCATGGTTTAGCAAGAAGCAAGTCAGTGTTGCGTTATCCACAACCGAAGCGGAATATGTTGCCGCCGGTAGTTGTTTTGCTCAAATCCTTTGGATGAAGCAACAACTTGTGGATTATGGCCTTAGTATCGATCACGTCCCTCTTCGATGTGATAATACTATTGCCATAAGCTTGACGAAGAATCCGGTTCTTCACTCAAGGACGAAACATATTGACATTAGGCATCATTTCATTAGAGATCATGTTCTCAAAGGTGATGTCGAAATTGAGTTCGTTGAAACACACAACCAATTAGCCGACATTTTCACAAAACCTTTAGAGAAAGAGTCGTTCTTCTGCATTCGTAGTGAACTCGGAATCCTTGACTCCACGATGATCTAAATTGTGCAT